TATTTTCGGAAACCCCCATGTCAAGAGTCGCCCACCGACATCAACTCGCCCAACTGGGTAATGCTGAGCTTGGCTCCTGCCATTTCGCGTTCGGACACGAGGCTTGCAGGACAAGAGGATTACTTCGGCGCTACCTGGGGGGGGGGGGGGGGTCACCTGGAGGCCTCGGCGATCGGCTGGAACATCTCACGTAAAAACCAAGAATCCCCCACCCTCTCTCCGAAACAAAGGCATGCGACGGTAACAGCGCTTTGAAGGTTTGCAATGTCACCCTACACCTTCGCATGCGTAGCCCCTTGGAGGCTGGCGGGCGTCGACTGTCGGAGGACTTTAAGCTCAACCCTTAGGCCCCGAACCAGAAAGCTTGGCACCTTTGTATCACTGTTCACTGATGATGCTGCTGCTATCCGCTGCTGCTGCTGAAGCGCAGAAGCGGGTAGCGCTGCTGGTGACTGCCGGTGCTGCTAGTGGCAACGGTGGTGGCAGTGGCGGCGATACTGGCGCTGCTGGTACTGCTTGTAGTGACCTTGAGTTTCAGTCTGCCAGACAGCTCCTGCTGAGGGATAGCAGCCAGTGTAGATGTACTCGAGGAAGACCTTGAGCGTCTCCTCGTGTGAGTTGAGACTTCGGATGAGAGACTCAATTTATGGCGCCACAATACGGGGCGTAGTGCACAAAAGAAGGGTTGATGTGTTTTCTGGTCTATATACTTCTGGTAGGGACTGGACTGAATAGGGTCTTATTGTTACTTACTCAGACATCTGTACTGCACTCTTGCACCTTTAGCTGCACCTTTAAACCAAAGTCATGCCAACCTCCATGGATTAGATTGCGGGGCCTCCCGAGACATAAATTCGAGCTCGAATACCGTTTCTACAAACACGCACGTTGTAAGTAGCAAGCTTGTTGTCGCAAACTAGTTCTAGCTTGAACAACCTCATTCTAAGCTTTCTTCTGCAAGCAGCCTCGTAAGCTCTAAATCTGCTAAACAATCTCTGATGGAACCTTGATTTGGCCTAAATACTAAATCCTACACCCTACAACAGAGTACGCCGTGGTGGTTTGAGTTTCCGAAGCGCCCATGTTCGGACGGTTTGGGCTAAACCCTACACACTCAAGTTTACCTGCCCCCAAGTGCCTCGCAGATGTTTTGGAGCACGAGACGTCTTTCTGAGCTCTCCTGAAAAATATGGCAGTCCAAGATTTAATGCTGTTCGGGTTAAGTGCTTTGCTTATGCTCGTGATTCCGGGTTTCAGTTCAGTTTTGGCCAAGACCACGTTCTCAAGCCTAAATCAAAACTGCACATGTCGGCCCAAAATGAATACTAGGTTCCCCCTTGATAACAAGGGTACAATTTGGTCCCACTGGTGGGTGTTAATAAGGAGACCCCAAATCAAAAGGAAGAAAGGGTACTGCTGTGAGACCTTTCTTAGATCCTGAGTCTAATTTTGACCCGCCAGTGAAAAAACGAATACACCGTCTCCACCGCCTGTACCCAACCGCCCGCCTCCGTGCTAAAAAGCTCCGCAATCCAAAACAAACCCGGGAACCCTGAACCCCAAACCCTAAAAACCCCAAAGCCTGAAACCCCAAACCCCCAAAAAACTCGAAACCTAAAACCCCAAACCCTAAACCCTAAAAACCCACAAACCCCAAACCCTAAAACCCCAAACCCTAAAAGCCCGAAAACCCCAAACCCTAAAACCCCAAACCCTAAAAGCCCACCAACACCAAACCCTAAAACCCCAAACCCTAAAAACCCACAAACCCTAAAAACCCACAAACCCCAAACCCTGAACCCCAAACCATGAAAACCTCGAACCCTAAAACCCCAAACCATAAAAGCCCACAAGCGCCAAACCCTAAAACCCCAAACCCTAAACCCTAAGCCCTAAAACCCCAAACCCTGAAACTCTAAAACCCCAAACCCCTAAACCCCCAAACCTCTCCTTCATCTCGGAGCTCAACATGCGGTCGAAGACCTCGGAGCTCTTCGCCAGGACGGCCCGGTGGCAGGGAAACCCCTGGGACTCCTGCAAGGCGTAAGAATAGGGTCCTAGGGGTTTAGGTTTTAGGGTCTAGTTAGGTTTTAGGGTCTAGGGGTTTAGGTTTTAGGGTCTAGGGGTTTAGGTTTTAGGGTCTAGGGGTTTAGGTTTTAGAGTCTAGGGGTTTAGGTTTTAGGGTCTAGAGGTTTAGGTTTTAGGGTCTATAGGGGTTTAGGTTTTAGGGTCTAGGGGTTTAGGGTTTAGGGTCTAGGGGTTTAGGTGTTGGGGTCTGGGGCTTTAGGGTTTAGCGTCTAGGGGTTTAGGTTTAGGGTCTATAGGGGTTTAAGTTTTAGGGTCTAGGGGTTTAGGTTTTAGGGTTTAGGCTTTGGGGGTTTGGGGTTTAGGGTTTGGGGCTTAGGGTTTAGGGTTTACGGATAGAAAACCCTAAACCCTGAACCCCTAGACCCCAAACCCTAAACCCCTCAAACTCCTTCAAGGTGTAGCTAAGAGGGTTTAGGAATCTCGGGAATCTAGGGCTCTACTTGAAGGTGTATAGGGTTCATCTCTGAAGACTTCGGGCTTGGGCTTGGTTGAGGTTTCGGGATGAGGGCCTTGGCTGGGCATGTCAATGAGCTACTAGCCGAACACGGCAATATAGGGGCGGTAATAAGTATAATAATTAGAATAGGTTTTTTGGGGGGTTCCTGACTATGACTATAGTAGAAAGAGCCACAAAATCCTATTCAACCGATTAAGGCCCCTGAAGTAGCATCTACCAATGATGCGCACGCCTTACATCGACCAGCCGAACCCCTCCTCTCCCGAGCAGATCACCATGTCCGTGAACTTCATGTCCTCTCCCAGAGCGGGGTTCTACGCGAACCGTACCACACACACACACACAGGTCACCACTTGCGACTATCTGGCTACCCTCCTAGGCACGCCCTCATGGCAGCTGTCCTCGGCCTAGAGAGCAGAAACCAAGCCAGTGCAGGGAAATCATGGATTTCCAGGCAGGGAAGGAAAATGCCCTGAAGCTCAGAGCCCTCAAAGCTTCGAGCACTCCAAGACCGAAAGCCGCAAGGCCCCAAGCCTGAACGGGGCTCAGGGTTCAGGGCTTTTCGAAGTTGGGGCTTGGGGTGGGCTCTGTGAGATGGAGGAGGGTCCTACACCCCAAACCCCAGAACCCTTCCTCCCACAGAGCAGCGCCGTAGTCTACTCGCCGCCGCTTCGCGGAATCCGACTTGCTGACGTCGCAGCATTCCTAGTACCGCGGCTCAAGTACCGACAAAGGTTTAGGGTGTAGGGTTGATTTTCATGCGACTCCATGGGCAGAGCTTCGAGGTATGACACGCCAGTCTACGCGGGCTCTGGCTGTCTCTATGACAGTCCCCAGCACGAATGGACGACGTTCGGCGCAGTTCGCTTTGCGGCTCAGGGCTCGGGGTCACACACCAAAACCCTGAACCTTGAAACCGCAACCCTAGACTGAAACCCATAACGGCAGTCTATACGGGATCTGTGTTGTTATTGTTGATCGGGGAGGGGTCAGTCTGAGAAGGGTCACAAGAATCGCACGCAGTCGGTTCTATGCCGTTAAGATGCAACGACCTCCAGAACTCCTGAAAATGCGGTATTCCTCAAAACACGCATGTGGAGCCTCATCGCACCACACATGACTAATTATCGCGCCTGCCTGCTCAAAATGTGAATGTGATCCCATTGCTCAGCTCACATCTAGCCACTGAATCCCGACCCTGAGTCTACATCCCCTCACATCCCGCCAGTGAACCCTATGCGTCCGCAACCCCGTTCCTCAGCCCTTGATCCCCACCCAGAACGGCAAGCTTCTCGAATTCCCACGTTGTCGCCTTGGGATCGCACCACAGATGTACTTCGGTGTGCAGTTTGCGGGATTGGCCTGGGTTTCTGCAGATGACCTGCATGCACGCACGCGGCGAAGTGGTCTGAGGCTCCATCACGGGGTGTTGCCGTCAGGATACAAAGAGACAGTCTGGAGTGCAGGCAGAGGATAGAATAATGTGCGTTCATTTGTAGGTGGGCATAGAGCTGATTAAGGTTGGCGATTCTTGGATTCAGGATTTTAGGCAATCCGCACAAGGCAAGCTACTTGGACGCGTCAAGGCGAACGCGAGGCAATTTCTTTCATTGCGGGCAAGAGCCAGGCGTCCCTATATTACATAAAGTACAAGTTGAAAGGATGCATGGCTAGACTAGAATTCCACAAAGTCCCAAGAAGGCACTCAAGACTCAAGACCTCTTAAAAGCTAATTGCTCCAAATAAACCCAGACAGCTGAACCTTGTATGGGGGTTTCAGTTCGAGTGGGAAGAGCACAGAAGACGTCAGGACCGGTGGAAAAGAACCAGCCTGGATAAAGTCCTTGTCGTGAGCGATGGTCTGCCCATCGAGCTCGGTTGATTGCCATTCCTGCAACAAAAGGATGATGTCGATGAGCATAACGCGAAAGCTAATTACGATTGTGATTATGATGATGGTGCTGGTGATGATGATGATCATGATAATGATGATGATGATGATGCTGATGATGCTAATGATGCTGATGATGCTGCTTCTGCTGCTGCTGATGATGATGATGATGATGATAAGGATAAGGATAAGGATAAGGATGAGGATGAGGATGATGATGATGATGATGAGGATGAGGATGAGGATGAGGATGAGGATGAGGATGAGGATGAGGATGATGATCATGATGATGATGAGCATGATGATGCTGATGCTGGTGATGATTATGATGATGGCGATTCCCCGATGTCGAATGAGGTACTGATGACCAGAATCAGGAGCGGTAGAGATAGAGGCAGTGGCGGTGGTCGTGGCGGCGGCGGTGGCGGTGGGGGTGGTGGGGGTGGTGGGCGTGGTGGGGGTGGTGGGGGGTGGCGGTCGTGGTCTGCAGGATGCAGCATTAGCAGTGGCAGTAGTAGTCGACTGTTCTTGTTATCTTCTCTAATCGTAATCTTCTCGCCTTCATCAGCTGCCTACCTCAGCAGCTTGCGACGAGACTCGATCTTCCCGCACCAGAAGGAGATTCTCCAGAACCTTGGCTGGACCCCGACCGAGAGAAAATCATCCCGGATGTTGCGCAAGCTCACATGGACGATTGCATTGACTACCACGGACCTGGGCAAATCATCTAAATGCCTAACCCCACGGCCGAATGTGCCGTCACACCGGAGAACGAACTCATACTGTGACACGCTCCCTCCCCGGAAGATGCATGGGACTGAAGCGGACTTCCCAAAAAAAAGCACACGCAGTGATTGCGCAAACGAGCAAGTAGGCAAATTGTTCCAAATTGTTCAAGCTACTAGACTCCAGACTGTAAGACTATAGGCCCGGAGCAATATCTTGCGAAGGCACAGTGATGGGATAGACCAGAACTGCTCGCCCGAATGCGATGGTGCGAAACGCAGGAAGCACCTCACCACATCCGCTGCATCCTGTGGACAAGCACTCGGGTTTTGATCAGAAAGGGGTCAAGTGTGTAGCAAAGCTGATACTATCTGGTTAGTAGGCCCAAAAAACACTGAAACACACCAGAACACAAAGGGATACATCTCTACAGATACACATAGACATATAGGTATAGATATTCAGATATCCATATGTATATATATATATACACTTTCCTTTGCACACTGACAGATGTGGAATCAGGGTGCATCCATGCGTCGGGCTCTGTAAGAGTATCGATGATGGCAGGAACAGCATGCGAATCGTCGCTATGGTAATGGCTGTGCCACATCGACGTTTGATCAACAGCAAAGTCATCGACATCAGCATCAACACCGTCATTACCATCACCATCGTGGATACCATCTGCATCGTCATCACCATCACCATCACCACCACCACTGGAAGCAGCACCTTCGCTATCAAAAGCATTCGCATGGCATCCGACATCGCTACGACCAGCTACTGCGACCAAATGACGACTACTGCAGCCTGACATGCCAAAAGCACTTACAGTCGAAGCCCGGTCCTCCTCACTACCGTAAGGATACACATCCAAGAAGATGTTGCAGCCTGCGAAGCCTCGGGATAAAGAGCTCAAGAGCATCAAGGGGCTGAGGAATTATTTAGGGTTTAGGGTTTAGGGTTTAGGGTTTAGGGTTTAGTAGGCTACACGCCATTCCGAAGCCCGATCTGCTGGAAGTGCAACAGATAACGATTCCGACCCGAAACCCGCAATGCCACATTCTGAGTCATAGACCCCTCGTGCATTCTGCGAGGGCTTTGGGCTGGAGGGCTTCTTGTATAAAACCCTAGGACCCTAAGCTCTAATGTAGGGGCCTTCATAATTAGAATAGGGTTTTGGGGCCCATTCTACTATAACTATAATAAGGAGCCCCCAAAAAAGTATAGATACAGGTAATTACTTAGGCCTCTAGAGTAAACCCTAAACCCGGCCCTTGATCCCCTTAGGTTGTACGCTCGAAACTCATTCCCTGCAGCTTCGGGTTGCCATTCTGCTTTACAAAGAGGCCTTCAGAGTTTCAGTAGGGCTTTGGGGCATATTCTCTGCTAGAACTATAGTAAGGAACCTGCATGTAAGCATCCTACTATACTGAGATTAAGGAACCCTGAGGACTAAAATTAGTTGTGGCTCTTAGCTCTCCGGCCTCGGCCAACGCAGACCTAAACCTGTTGCAACCACCCTTGGTTTAGGGTTTAGGGTTTAGGGTTCAGGATATTTAATATGAGGTTCAGGGTTTTAGGCCTTGAGGTCCAGGGTTCAGGGCTTAGGGTTTTTAAGGTTTGGGTCTGGGGTTTAGGGTTCAAGGGTTGGGTTTAAGGCTAAGGATCTTTCACGGTTTAGGCCTGTGCCCAGTGCAAATTTGCGAGACTTGCAACAGACAACGATGGTAAACGGAGCCAAGATTCTCTATGTTTCACCACAACCCTGAACCCGAAACCCCAAACCTTAAATCTTTGCCCAAAGCAACAGAGCACGTATTATGGAGCGTGTGCAGGATGTGTGTCTCGCGTGAAAGGCCAAGACGCACCAATCCCTGAAAGCACCATAGACTCCGTAACCTCCCTAGACATGCATGAACCCTTGGAAAATTCAACCCTAAACCCGTAAACCCCCCTCTAAACCCAAGTGCAGCCGCAGAGTTTGTTGAGGCATTATTCAATCTGACTGTGCTGATTGGAACCTGATCCTTGATCGTGTGAGCCGCACAGGCCGGAAACGAGCCTACGGCCCGACGCGAACAAACCCTAAACCCTGAATCCTAAACTTACCCTAAACCCTAAACCCCTAAACCCCTAAACCCTAAACCCTCATCTTGGGATCTTTTAGACGCCATGGCGATACCAAGTGGTGTAGCACATACGATCGGCAATCCGAAGGCCCAGAGGCAACCCTGAACACCCAAAGAAACCCTGAGCCCCAATCCCTGAAACCCAAGAGGTCGCATATACATGTGTATATATATATATATATTTGTTTATTTATTTGTTTATTTATTTGTATGTATGTATGTATGTATGCATGTATGTATATATGTATGTATGCATGTATGTGTATATATATATATGTATATATATATATATATATGAGCCTGAGACATGAGATAATAGGGTTTAGGGTTTAGGGGTCATAATCTGCAATAAACATATAGGAGGTCGGCATGGATAACGAGGTATTGTTGCTAATCCCTCAAACCCTGCAGGCCCCCCCCGCCCCCCCTGGAACCCTGTCAGGAAAGCCACTGTACTTGGCACTCTGAACGGGGCAGCCCTTGGCATGCCGGGTCTTCGAGCGCTCGAACTGGAACTCAAAGTACCTGGGAAGGTTTCGAGCTTGGGATTCAGGGCTTAAGGTGTAGTTGCGTGTATGCTGCAGTTGTTCTCTTTACTTGCCTCGCGGTTTGGGGCCCAGAATTTGTGCTCGTTTGCTTTGGGGAGCTCGGGTGCTAATGCCATCGATTATGACCCCGAGGATTTCGCAGGATTGATTAATTGTTTCTTGGGGGTGGTGGGGGGTTGGGGTGGGGGATGCTTGCATCTTCGTGGTTACAGGCTTTGGTGCTTCGCAATTTTATATGGGTCACACTTTCATAGTGGTCACACTTTCGTAGACATGTCTTTACTTCACGTTTGGTAGAGCCTTAACCAATTCTGCATCCCTGTCACACCCTACATTCCGGTATGCGCGACACAAACCCATGGCTTGAAGCTCGCGTGCCACCGCGCGCATTGCTCTCACAAAGAAAAGCCCTTTCAAAAAGCAACGACTGTGAAAATCGGACTTCGCGTGTCTTGTAAACATCGCGGTGCACACTGCTTTCACCCGCGAATGCGAAGCCTGGTGGCAGTGGTGATTTGGAGCAGGGGCACCACTTCTGAATGCGTGTGCGGAAAAAACCGAGGTTTTCACGTTTTCCTGCGGTGCGAACAGAATTTCCATGTGCAGACTCGCTAGGGTCACAATCACCAGCGTTACCCGGTTTCTGGGGACTGTGTTTGGGGCGGAGGGAGGCTGTGTATGAGGGTTTATAAGCGTGTCAATTTGCAGATGGTTTCGGGTTTCCAGGGTAAGGCGGAGGGCTCACAGGGCTCACGTGGTGCAGGGATGCCCAGGCTTGTCTTCCAAAACCAGGAAGTACTTTGTAAGTACAGCGATCTGATGATGATCCGAATCTACTTCGTGGCACTGCTCGCTCGCAGTGGTGATGATGGAGGAGCGCTCAGAGGGTTGCTTGGAGCATGTGGTCCTTCGGGGTAGCTGTGATACGATTGCTCAAGAACAGGAATGATCCCGAAACCCAAACCAAGCAAGGAATGATCCCGAAACCCTAAACCTTCAATTCTATAGCTTCAGCCCTGTCTTTTCAAATCATGCCGAGATGCAAGGAGAGCTCGTCGGCCATCACGAGCGCAGAGGTGCCGCACGATTGCTATGGGTGCTTTCGATGTTCTTAACACGAGAAACCACGGATAAGAGTAGCAGTGAAAATGAGTGGTTAACCAGTAGATACCTGAAAGCTGGTCCTGACATCTGCTGGTCGGGGGTGATGGTACTTTCGGGACGCCTTTTTGAAATTCTTCTTTATACTTTAAGGCTCCGCCTACTCATGCGTCCGCATCGGAGTTGCTTATCTGAAGCTTCCATCTCGACCAAACCCTGACTTTGATCATGGTTGTCTTTTGTCCGACCGGACATTTCTCTTGAGCCCCGACTTCGACTCCGACTCCTGCTCCTGCTCCTGCCACGGCTACTGCTGTTGCGACCATTGCTACCACTATCTGCCACCACTACTTCTAATGCCAACAAGTAGTAATGCTGCTGTCATTTATTCTGCCATGCTTCTGCCGCTGAACGACGGAGACGCACATGATGAGGAAGATCACGAAAACAAATTTGGAATGGCGATGAGGGTGGTGAGCATGCTGAAGATAACATCGCCGCCATCATCATCAGCACCACCACAACCACCATCAGCACCGATGTGCTGCTATTCATCATGGCCATCATCAGTAGCGGCAGCATGAGTATCATGTTCCTCTCCTTCCTTCTTCCTTCTTCCTCATGTTCATGGTTGGAATCACAGTCACCACCATGTCCTACGACAGCAACTCATCATCATCGCCATCATCATCATCATCATCATCATCACCAGCACCGTTGTTATTGTTGTCATTATCGTTAGTAGTAGTAGTAGTAGTAGTAGTAGTAGTAGTAGTGGTAGTGGTAGTGGTAGTGGTAGTAGTAGTAGTAGTAGTAGTAGTAGTAGTAGGTAGTAGTATCATTTTTGTTGTTAGTACTACATAACAGTCATGACATCGCCCTCATCCTGAGCTGATCCTGGGGCTCACGCGCAGGCTGGATGCCGCTGCAGCCGCACGCTCCCATCTCCCAAACAACAGCCGCCCTTGCCTTCATGAAGAGATTCGTGTCAAATCTGACTTTCCACAGCTTCGTCGGGCTCCGTCATGGTAGACGCATCTTTCATGTTGCCGGCATGATACCAAGGAAGTTGTCCTTCGGCATCAGACGTCATCTTTGGAACGTTGGAGGCCGTGCCGCCTGGCAACTGCGTCGATGATTGCCGCAAGCGATCGCACGTCGGCATGCAAAAGCACGTGTAATCCGGGCAGATATGGCCCGGTGCTCCAAAAGTGATGAAGACAGTGCTTGGCCTCTCGCACATGTCCCACTTGGACGGGTCGATGGTCGACTCCGCACTGCCGGCACCACTGGGAACCGCTGCACCGTGCAGGAACCATTCTGGTTGTCGATTCGAATGGTTGTGCTGACGGAACAAAAGGAGTGTTTGCAGTAAAGGTGAAGACCACGTTGCTGGCAGCACCAAGTCATTTGCTTGGCGGTCTGGTGTATGTGGAGATGTTAGGCCCGGCGCACAGCTGTATGCCAAGCGGCGGGACTGTCTAAACTCGCCGGTGCATCGCACTCCATGCCAAGACACCGACCGGCCACCCAAAACTGGCTCGAGCAATCGAATTGGCGTGAGGCTGTTCGTTTCAGCCTTGAGCGTTACACTGCCTCCGTTTTGCACAAAACTAGGACTTCACATGCAGTTCTCGCTGGTGGCCTTGGACTCCGTGTAAGACTCGGACTCGCTGCTTTGGGTCCTGCCCTTCTCGAAGCTCTGCGCCGGTCCGTGGAACATCCCACCCACCTCCGAACGTAGAAAGAAAGAGGGGGCCACCCTCTCATGATCGCCGACCGCCAGGACGAAGAGAACTCCTCACGCCACCATGCCTGCAAAGTGGACGGGAATGCACTCGGCATCCTGGTCCCTTTCAGCCGCCCAACCACGCAGCACCGCAACGAAGTACCGCTGTCGAGCCGCCAGCTGCCCGTCGGTCCAAGGAGCCTCCCTCGCAGACACCGTAGCAGGGGCTCAGCAGCGCCCAAAACATTACATAGCCCGCATGGACCTGGAAAGGCAGCAGCGAGCAGTTGGCCCTTTGCTGGTGCCTTCCGCACGGTCTCCAACCAAAACGGACGAATGCAGAAGCAATCGTCACTTGTGTCACATAAGTGTAACCATGAACCTGGACAGTGCCAGAAATTCCGCAACAGATAGCTGACATCGCAGCGCTGTTTTAAAAGCAAGTTGCCGGTTTTCTCTATGCTCAGCAGACAGCGTCGGACTCCGATTCCGACGACTCAGTCATGCGGCCACCTGCGGCGTACCTCTTGATTGGGCTGTGGTAAGTCTCACCGTGAGTGTGCTCGTCAACACTGCCAAGCTCTTCATCTTCTGGAGTTCGAAGCTTCAACAGAAGCTTCCTGACGCAGTTCCCACAGCAGAGAAGGCCACACCAGCCAGAGCACCCAGCAATCTGCTTGCCCAACAGCACGAAGCTACCACTGTAGATGAGGCCTTCGTCAACTGCAAAAAATCCCGTCAAGATGGCACCGGCAAAGCCACCAGAGCCGTGCAATATCATCCACCAAGTTGATCCTGTTCACCGCTTCGACAGTGAGGTAACACCAAGCAGCGCCCAAGGCGCCAATGGCAATGCTCCAGCCAGGTGTCACAAAGCCGGCTGCGGGTGGGATGACCACCAGACCTGCAACGGCACCAATATATGTTGTTATTCTTGCTACTGCATATCATCTTCACTCGAGGCCGTCAGCCCAACATCCGAACCCAAACGCCCTCTCACACAATCCCCACAGCATGTATAGTACTGTATAGTCAGAAGTCTATACTACCGAAGATACAACAGTCACGACCAGCCCAACTTCTACCTGCTTGAGTATGTTAGTGGTTTATGATTCGGGGTTTGGAGGCCTTCCCCTGGACCATGGCCATGACCGTGTAGCACATGGCCCTTGTGCAGCAGCTTCCGTGGCCTCCGGGCAAGCAGTGAAGCCCCCACCGAAACCACCACCACCACCACCACCACCACCACCACTTCAACAGGCTATGTGCTCGCATCTACTCAAAGCAGCGCGATTTTGAGGTAAGTGATGATGGTTATGATGATGATGATGATGATGATGATGATGATGATGATGAAGATGATGATGATGATGATGATGATGATTATGATGGTCATGATGGGCGTTGGCGGTGATGATGCTGCCCCATCAAGTAAGTGTTAGTCCTAATCCTTTGCAGCAGCAACAAGACAAGCGCGGCGAGCCTGCATCGGGGTGCATACAAGAGAGCTAGCTGCCCTTCGCCATGTTGGCAACCAGTCCGAGGTGCCCTTGCCTCAGCTCACCAAACCTGTACCCCAATCGAACTTCTACAGCCTCCGAGGCCCTGCGAAAACCAAAACAGAGTGATGCACCTGAAGTGGCAAACACCCCTCTCGTGGTGGCACCGAAACTGTAGGGTTTACAATAGGGTCCCCGACATGCTGCAAAATCCCAGACCCTCAGCCCCAAGTAACATCTTCGAACCCCCAACATCCGGCAAGACCCTCGAACTCTAAACCTCGACCCCTACAGCACTCACTTAAGCCCGACAAGAGGCAGGTCTTCAACCCGGAGGAAACCTGAAGCCGCGAGGAAGATCTACAGTCTGCAGTTCCAAAGCGCTTTTGGGGGCTTCTGGGGATTTACCCTCGCCCCTCAAAGAAGCCGGTGGTTTACTAACCCAGATTCTACCCTGTGGGGAAGGCTGGTTGGAATCCAAGCGTTTCCGAGCCTGAGGCTTTAGGGCTTGCGCCTCAGGGTTCGCGCTTCTGGCCTGAGCAGCTGAAACGTAATCTAGGGTGGAGGGGTTAGAGTTCGGGATGTGCCCCAAGCCCCGAAGCCTACACCCCGCACCCGAACCGCTACGTAGACTCTACTTAAAGGATCATGGGACTTAGTAACTGAGGTTATAAATAAGGTTAGTATACTTATAATTACTTATAACCCCAAGTAAGACTTACTACGTCCCAAGATCCTCCAAGTAGATCCGAACTTTCCGAACTGCAAAGGCCCGACGGACCCGAACTGACATTCCAAACCTCTGCAGACCAGGCAGCTCACCACGTTCGCCAGGCTTAGCTTCGGAGGATCCTTTCGTGCTTATATTATAATTGTAATATATTATAGTATATTATATTATATCTTATTGTAGTACACTCTATTATATTATAGTATATTATTGTGTATTATGGTATATTATGTATATTATGGTATATTATGGCATATTACGGTATATTATAGTATGTTATAGTATATTATAGTATTATAGTATATTATAGTATATTATTTTGTTATTCAGGGTCCCCTTAGGAGCCTACTGTATGGGGGCTTGGGGGGCTATGGCTCAGTGGTTGTAGAAGGGTCGTTTAGGGTTCAGGATGCTCCTGCAAGGAAAGGTTGTGGACTCAGGGCTTGTCGGTTTGGGGTTGGTTTTGAGTTAATGGATTTAAGCCTGTTGCGAAGGGGTGAACGTCTCCCATAGAGCCAAACTAAGTGTTCCGTATCTTGTGCTTGACGACTTAAACTGTAGCTTTTAGAGCTCAAGCGCCCGCAGCTGCAAGAGCTTAGGGCTTGACGATTGCAGTCTTCAGGGTTTCAGGGTGAGGTTTTATGGCAAAGCTTGGGGATTGTGCCGGGCTAGCAACAGACATGAGAACTTCCTCCTCACCCCAAGCCCTAAACCCACACTCAAGATTCTACGTCTGAGACTGGAGTCCTTCTGGCGTGCAGCGGTACTGAGGCAGACTAGACATGTTGCATTATGATCCGAAGACCTACGAAACTGTGTAATTAAGCCACTACATCCAGAAATTGACCAGTTCCCCCTCTTGCAGCATGATACAGAGCCCGATGCCATGTCTTCTACCGAAGCCGACCTTGTCAAAACCCTACTCCCTACACCCAAATGGAAATTGAGGAAGCTACCTCTCTTCACAAGGAAGCCCTTGAGAGGCGCACATGAGCCTCACGATCCCCAAAGCTGAAGTCTAGACCCTGCTAGACTAGACCATACTATACTGTACTATACAGTACTCTTAGGGTTTAGGGTTTTGGGTTTAGGGTTTAGGGTTTAGGGTTTAGTACTGTGCGGTACTATACTATACGACCCCAAAACCGGCCCCTCTAGCTCGAGGTGTACCATGTATATGTCACGGGCCTCCAGGGAGGACCCCAGAACCAGGCAGGCCACACTGGAGTCGCCAAGGTGATCTCCTTGGCTCCCCCCGGCTGCTGGCTCGGATTTAGGGTTTAGGGTTTAGGGTTTAGGGGCGTGGCCACAACAGGTTAGCACCGGGTTCTTCAGCAGTCGACCAGGGTCTAAGGGCATTTTGTGCGGTTTGGGGTTTCGGGTTTACGGTATGCAGTACTCCTGTGCAGGAAGATGATCACGGGCCATCAGCAAGCATTTGGGCCCCTAGATAAAGCTGTAAAGGATGTGGTAGGATGACATCTGCTGCCAAAACCCTAAGCCCTAAACCCCCAAGCCCTAAACCCTTAACCCTTAACCCTAAACCCTAAACTCCAGCCCGAAACCTCTGCACCACACGCATGGCCCCAAGTCCTACTGAGTAGGATCCGACCGTGAACCCATGAACAGGCGAGTACACGAATTGCGGTGGGGGCGAAGTGCGGTTTAGGCGTCAGGAGCAAGATTTAGGATCTAGGGCCTTATGGTTTGGGACCTAAGACCTATAGGGCTAATCTACAGTATCGTTTAGGGTAGGAAGGTTTCGGGACTACGTATAGGGAAGGCTTAGGATCTGGGAGTTAGGATTGGAGCCGCCTACAGTAGACTGCGGGTTGGGGCTGAAAGAATTGGGACGTCCGCCTTCGGTGTGGGATCTCAAACGGGCTCAATAAACCCTAAGCCCGAAACCCTAAAACCCTAAACCCTAAACCCTAAACCCTAAAACCCTAAACCCTAAACCCTAAACCCTAAACACTAAACCCTAAACCCTCGTAATCGAATTTTGATAAGGAGCCCTAAGGAAAGATGTTGGAACGAAGCCCTAAAGCCTGTACCCTAAACCGGCCTTCTATCGTCAGCCTCCCCCAGGGCCATACGGGTCGCTCTGTAAATTAGGGTCCCTTAGGAGGTCTATAAGGTTTTCCACAGGGGTACTACAAGGATAGTTCTCTAAATTAGGGTCCCTTTTCAGGACACCCTTAATAAAAAGGACCCTAAAAGGGACCCCGATTTGGAGAACTACCCCCTATGCTGCCGGAGTCTCGGAAGCGATTCCTGGGCGGAGATGTGAGCACATCTTCAAGACGCTTCGTCTGGAGTAGGTTCCCAGTATGCCCTCGATGCTAGCAAGAATACCAGTAGCAATGATACTCGTACTAGCAACACTAGTAAGGGTAGCTCGACTCAAATAATCGCTGCAATTAGCAATGGTACCTTTGCTCGGAAGCCCCGTCATACCTTGTGCAAGCTGGGGGCGTCACTTCGAGCCGTCCTCTCCCCATCCCTCAACCCCAAACCCTTATGCCTGCTTTGGTCCTGGCACGACCCCTGAGCTGAAACCCGAACCCTTTCAACCCAAAGAGCGCGCCATCCCAGAGCAAGCGCCCCCGTTTGAGAGCTTCCGAAGTGCACGCTCCTATCACAGTGCCCGGCTTCGGGTAGAGGTTTTTGCAAGGTCTGGGCTTGAACAAAGGCTCAGGTTGAGTTAGGATGAAGGAGACAGGCTTTATCACGAACTCTGAAGACTCGGTGCAAAGACTTAGGGCGCAGCAAATCAGGGGTTCGGGCTCTGACGAGAGTTTAGTAGACAAATCCCAAAACCCTAAGCCCAGTCTACCCTAAATCCCTAAGCCCTAAACCCAAGCTCTCCGTAACCGAGTATCAGGATGGCTTCTTGGTGAGAGCCATCCACATCCTCGCGAAACAACACTGACTGAAAGGGCTTAGGGTTTAATTGGTTTCGGATAAAATGGGGTTTTGAGGTTTGGATTTTGTGCTTTGCATTTAGGGTTCTGCTTTAACTTTGTAAACGATCGACCCTCATACCTTGTACCACCTATAGACCCTGAATTCATGATGCCTGCGCGTCTGCTCTTGGCACTCCATGAGATTAAAGCTTAGGGCAATTCCCTCTTGAGAGCGCAGAATATATCCGAGTCGCGTTCATCGAAACAAGGCTTCTCCTCCGTCTTTACAGACGACATCGGCATGACTGCGAAAGCTCTCGGATGCTTGCCTAGACCCTGGACGCTCACATTAAAGAATCGCGAGTAGAAACGAAAAATATCGTATTTTTGTTGAAGGACATGCCTATGCCACCTGGGAGGTCCAAAATTTGTGCCATCGCACCATGTTGTTCCGTACATTGGGAAATCCAACCTAGACTGGAATATCAAAGCTCGGAATCTGACCCAGATGTTCAGGGTTCAGGGTTTGGGTTTAGGGTTTAGGGTTTAGGGTTTAGGGTTTAGGGTCAATTTAGGGCTTAGTTCATCCATGTAGCCATAAAGCTGCCGAGCATCGTCCAGGCCATCAAAGCCGTGAGCCCCTCCAAGGAGCAGAAAAAGGGTCTCCTTGTGGATTCGAAGCTTTTGGGCTCATGTTCTGAACGCTCTTTGCGAGATAAGATCCCTACAAGAACAAGCACTTAACACAGAAAAAACACACTCATCCTCGCACCCCTTACCTTAAATGAAACGAGGGTTACTATGATAGCTTAACGTATATTCCTGAACTAAGGGGTTTTTAGGAGTTTCTAGGTAAGTTGGCCCATCGAACTACTGGGAGCCAAATCTCAGCAAACAATCCTCTGAGCAGTGACAGTATAGGGCCTGTACATACCCGAAGGGCCCTAAGTACCTACTATGGGGGGGGGGGGGGGGGCTT